GAGAGTTTATAATATATATATATATTTTTTAGAAATAGGGTCTCACCATGTTGCCTAGGCTGGTCTAGAATGCCTGGGCTAAAGCAGTCCTTCTGCCTCGGCCTCCCAAAGTGCTGGGATTACAGGCGTGAGCCCCTGAGCCCATTCAGGGTAAATAATCCTTTTCTCTCTTTTTTTTTTGAGACAGAGTCTGGCTCTGTTGCCCAGGCTGGAGTGCAGTGGTTCGATCTTGGCTCACTGCAACCTCCACTTCCTGAGTTCAAGCAATTCTCCTGTCTCAGCCTCCCCAGCAGCTGGAATTACAGGTGTGTACCACCACACCTGGCTAATTTTTGTATTTTCATTTTTATTTATTTTATTTTTTGAGACAGAATCTCACTCTGTCACTCAGGCTGGAGTGCAGTGTACAGTGGCATGATCTTGGCTCACTGCAACCTCTGCCACCTGGGTTCAAGTGATTCTCCTGCCTCAGCCTCCCGAGTAGCTGGGACTATGGGCATGTACCACCTCATCCTGCTAATTTTTTGTATTTTTAGTAGAGATGGGGTTTCATCATGTTGGCCAGGCTGGTCTCGAACTCCTGATCTCAGATGACCCACCCACCTTAGCCTCCCAAAGTGCTGGGATTACAGATGTAAGCCACTGTGCCTGGCCTGGCCGAATAATCTTAACTGACCTATTTTCTTTGTCTTTTTTTTGAGACAGAGTCTCACTCTGTCACCCAGGCTGGAGTGCAGTGGTGCAATCTTTGCTGTCTGCGACCTCCGCCTCCTGGGTTTAAGCACTTCCGCTTTACTCTTCTGAGTGCTGGGATCACAGGCATTCGCCACCACACCTGGACTAGTTTTGTACTTGCAGTAGAGACAGGGTTTCACCATGTTGGCCAGGCTGGTCTCGAACTCCTGACCTCAGGCGAGCCGCCTGCCTCAGCCTCCCAAAGTGCTGGGATCACAGGCGTGAGCTACCGCGCCCGACCTGTTTTATTTTGTTTTAAACTGTGTGTTTAGAATATTATAATGTGGCCACTCTGGAAATAGGAGTCCCCCTCCTCCCGGGTTGTGTTCTTGCTGTTTGCTGCAGTGGTTATTTCATGACTTTTCTGATTGTGAAGTCTCTATCTCTTGTTATTGGTGGCTGTTTCCTCCTGTTCTTTTAGCCTGGTGGTCAGCTAGTGATAGGGCAGAGATTTCTTTAAACATCTGGAACAACAACAACAAAAAACCCGCAACACCCTCCCGAGTCTGTAGAAGGGGTCTGCGTGCCTGTGGGGTCAGCCCTTCCACGGTGAAACAGGTTTTCTCTGCCTTCACGTTCACGTCCTGCTTGTGCAGAGCTGGAAGGCCAGCCCGATGTGAGCGCAGGGCCCTCGCAGGCCTCTTCCAAGCTCCTGCACCAGTCTGGTCTTGTAGGTTCCAAGCCTTCATTCCCCAGAGTGTTTTATTCCCTGGCCTTTCCTCCTACACTGTTTGGCTCACCTGTTTTTTGCCTCCTCTGCTCCTGTGGCCCCAGGCTGCAGAGACTAACAAATTTGTTGTAAACGTTTCCCACAAATGTCCTCCAGGTAGCACCTCAGCACTGGGAGAATGTCCAGTCAGGTGAGATCAAGGCCAGCCCTCGAGCCATACTCCAGTTCGCAGTTGCAAATAAGGCCCCTTCTTGGAACCTGTGCTGGGCGTGTGGTCTGTTACTCTCAGGCCATCACAGTCTAGGCAGTAGGAGAGGGACCAGGATGAGTTAAAACACCACAAAAGTGTTTGTTCTGAGATCCAAGTGGATTATTTTTTGAGATGGAGTCTCACTCTGTTGCCCAGGCAGTGGCGTGATCTTGGCTCACCGCAAGCTCCACCTCCCAGGTTTTCAAGTGATTCTCCTGCCTCAGCCTCCCGAGTAGCTGGGATTATAGGCATGTGGCATCACGCCTGGCTAATTTTTGTTTTTTTAGTAGAGACGGGGTTTCACCATGTTGGTCAGGCTGGTCTCAATCTCCTGACCTTGTGATCCACCTGCCTTGGTCCCCCAAAGGGCAGGGATTACAGGCCTTAGCCAATGTGCCCAGCCTCATTTGGATTATATTAATCAAGTGTTCCTCTGGTTCCTGCAAGCATTTGATTAGGTCCAAAAAAGTTGATTGTGACTCTTTTGCCAGTTTTTTGTTGCTTCCCATTTTCTGTGTTTCATTCATGTCCTTCACGGGATCTCGAATTTACATAAAAAGAAATCTTCCCTCAGTTCCACAGATGGGAGAAAATCCTGAAAAGAAACGTGGTGAAAACGAAACTGGTGTTGCCTGCTGGCTGGACACTACCGTCAGCCCTGGGTGTTGGGTTCAGGCCTCAGAGTCTTCACGGGTGAGGCGTCTCATGCCACAGCCCCAACTGGAGACTCTGATTCCATCATTAGATAACTGGAGCAGCCTCTGCTCCTGGGATTTGGTGGCCTGTAACGTCGGCAGCTCCCATGTTGAACCCTCCCTTCTGCGGGAGGGGTCGGGGCGAGGGGAGGTTGGAAGATGCCAAGTGAGCCGCCTGCCCTCTGACCTGCCGCCTCTCCTTCCCCAGGTTGTCTTTCTACTCGGGACACGCCTCCTTTGGGATATACTGCATGGTGTTCCTGGCAGTGAGTCCGTTTCTCCGGGGCTCGCCCATCAAGTCACTCCCTTCCCTGGACCTCGGTTTTTCCAGCTGTAAAATGGGTGGGACATGGTGGTGATGGGGGCACTCACTGACTTGTTTGTAAAGACAGGAGGCCCTGGGCTGGCCGGTTCTATGCCCCCGGCCTCAGAGCTGCCATCTGTGCAGTGGGCGTAGGAGGGCCTGGCAGGGCACAGGCTGAGGCGTCCTCTCCCGTCCCAGCTCTACGTGCAGGCGCGGCTCTGCTGGAAGTGGGCGCGGCTGCTGCGGCCCACGGTCCAGTTCTTCCTGGTGGTCTTTGCCCTCTATGTGGGCTACACCCACGTGTCTGATCACAAACACCACTGGAGCGACGTCGTTGCTGGCCTCCTGCAGGGGAGGCTGGTGGCTGGCCTCACTGTGAGCTTCTGACCCTGACTCAACCTCTGTGCTGTCCAGAGACCACTCCCTGCCCAACCCTGGTCCTTCCCTGCACACTCTTGCCCCACGGAGTCCTCCCCTGGGACCCCTTCCTCTAACCATGGTCCTTCCCTGGGACCCCCCCTTCCCCTCGTTTCTCCCCTGGGACCCCTACCCCAAACTCCAGTTCTTCCCTGGACCCCTCCTTCCCTAGGATGCCTCCTTCCCCCGATTCCTCCCCTGGGACCCCTTCCTCCAACCCTGGTCCTTCCCTGGGACCCTTCCTTCCCCCGGTTTCTCCCCTGGGACCCCTTCCCCCAACCCCAGTCCTTCCCTGGGACCCCTTTTTCTACCCATTTCTCCTCTGGGATCCCCCAACCCCAGTCTATCCCAGGACTCTTCCCTCCCCCCCACATCCTCCCCTGGGACCCCTACCCCCAACTCCAGTTCTTCCCTACACCCCTCCCTTTTTCCCATTTCTCCCCTGGGACCTCTCCCCCAACCCCAGTTCTTTCTGGGACCTCTCCTTCCACACATTCCTCCCCTGGGACCCCTTCCGCAACACCAGTCCATCCCTGGACCCCTCTTCCCCCCATTCCTCCCCTGAGACTCCTTCTCCCAACCCTAGTCCATACCTGGGACCCCCCACATCCCCCCAATTCTCCTCTGGACCCCATTGCCCCCAACCCCAGTCCTTCCCTGGGACCCACTTTTCCCCTCGTTTCTCCTCTGGGACCCTCCAACCCCAGTCCATCCCTGGACCCCTCCCTCCCCCCCAAACATCCTACCCTTGGACCCCTTCCCCCAACCCCAGTTCTTCCCTGTACCCCTCCCTTCTCCCCATTTCTCCCCTGGGACCTCTTCCCCCAACCCCAGTCCTTTCTGGGACCCCTCCTTCCCCACATTCCTCCCTGGGACCCCTTCCCCCAACCCTAGTCCATACCTGGGACCCCTACCTCCCCCCAATTCTCCTCTGGAACCCCTTCCCCCCAACCCCAGTCCTTCCCTGGACCCCTCCCTTCCCCCCCACATCCTACCCTGGGACCCCTTGTCCCAACCCCAGTCCATGGATGGACACCTTCTTCCCCCAGTTCCTTCCCTGAGTTTCCTGCCCGGACACCGCAGCCCTTCCCTGGGCCCATCAGCGCCCCAGTGCTCTCCACTGGTCCTCCACCAAGAGGGCTCTCTTCCCCCACAGGCACTGTTCCTCTCATTGCCCACCTGGGACCCTGTTCCTCCCCCTCCTGCCTATGCCCATGTCCCTGGTGACTGCCCAGCCCCTGCCCAGTCTCACCTTCCTCCACTCTGCCAGGTCTGCTACATCTCAGACTTCTTCAAAGCCTGACCCCCACAGCACTGCTCGAAGGAGGAGGAGCTGGAATGGAAGCCCAGCCTGTCACTGACAGTGACCCTGGGCGAGGCTGACCACAACCACTATGGGTACCTGCACTCCTCCTCCTGAGGCCGGACACCTCCCAGGCAGGGAGTGGCTGTGAGTCCAGCTGAGGCCGGCCCCCCAGGTGGTCCCTCTGGCCCTGGGTAGCACTGAGGGCTCTGGACGGGCTCCAGGAACCCTGGGCTGATGGGAGCAGTGAGCAGGCTCTGCTGCCCCTGTCCTGCACCGGACCAGGGGTCTGGGGAGGCCTAGGTAGCCCTGAGCAGTTGGAGGGGGACCTGTTCCCGTAGCTCCCCAAATATCTCCATTCTTTTATGGGGTTAAGGAAGGGACTGTTTTGTAAAATGTAACGTACATGTGGTTTTTAGTAAAATGGGGCATCGGTTTGACGAGTGGTCTCAGTGCCTCTGCTCCTTACGGCCATTCTGGGACGGTGTTCCCCCCATCAGAGGGCTCCGCGGAGCTCAGACATCAGGCCGACCCACGTGCTGTGACAGTGGAGGGCAGCAGCCAAGCCCGCCCCTTGCGTTTCTCCCTGCACGGCGCTGGGGTCAAGGGTCAGATGGGTCAGCACACCCCTCCCCTCTGCTCATGTCCACCCCATGCACCTGGGGGCCACGCTTCTGAAATGGGTAATTCAGGGGCTGGTTTCCCTGAAGTGATGGCAGAACACACAGAACTTACTTTTTTCAACAGGAGGGTAAAGGGTACATTTGTTTTTTTGTACAGGCGGTAACTTAAGTGTCTGCTGATGTTTTGTTTGCACCTGGAACCTCTCTTATTTCCTCACCCTGCAGGGTCTTCCTATCAGGCCTTAGCCTACGGGAGGGGTGGTGCCCTGGGGGCAAAAGTGCAGCCTGGGAGCCCCACCCAAGGGGCCTCGATGGAGACCTGCTCTTGGCGGATGGGAAGGAAGGTGACCCAGACCCTGCAGAACTCCAGCTGGGAGCCCCACCCAAGGGGCCACAATAGAGACCTGCCCTTGTTGTTCGGGAAGGAAGGTGACCCAGACCCTGCGGAACTCCAGCTGAACATCAGGACTTCCCTCCATGTAGGTGTCAGACGAGGTCCTGGCCAGGAAAGTCACACTGAAGCCTCCCAGGTATCCTAGGGTGCCGCAGCAGGCAGTGATGCCCGAGGACTAAGGAGGCTGTGTCTGGGCTCAGAATGTGTCTCTGGCAGTGGGTGGGAGAGAGGTTCCTAGCCAGATCCCACAGGCAGAGTCACTGCATCAGGAGCAAATGGGAACGACCCAGGTGCCCTGTTAGTAGCCGACGCCTCCGTCTCCTCCCAGATGCAATGGCCTTAAAAGCCAGGACCGCAGTGAGGGTTGAGCGTGAGTCTGTGGGAGCAGCTGCAGTGCACAGGACTCCAGTGTGGTCTGCTGGGGGCAGGTGGTCGTGTTGGGACGAGCGGTGAAGACTGAGGAGAGGAGGAAGTTTGGAGTGAGGGAGAGGACGTGGCTGAGTCCTGCTGCTGGCCTCGGCTGGTGGAGTCTCAGTGCTTCAGAAAAAGCATGTGCACCCCACGGCTGTGAGAGCAGAGAAAGAAAGGGCTGTACTGACCAGAGCCATCCCCAGAGGGTCCTCAGGAGCCAGGAGGGCCCAGCTTTGGGAGCTGGTGGCCTGTCTCGCCGTTTTGGTGCCACCCAGCTGGGCTATGCACGCACTGCTCTGCATCTGTTGAGAAAAGCCGGGATGCAGGGTGTCGGGCTCGGAAATTCTCACAGGTTCCCAGTACCAAGATAGCAGGCAGGGTAGCAGTTAGGACACATTTCTCCACCCACACGGAGCTCTGGGGAAGCTCTCATGCATAATGTTGGGTTTACACTGCACACGCCCTTATGGTTTCATGGAAAAAAGTAGTATTTTCTCTAGCTGTGCAAGGAGGATTTTTTTTTTTTTTTCTGTTTCTCACAGGAAACTCAGATTCTTAGCCATGTAAATATCATTTCCCATGGCTGTGTCCTCGTGGCCCGGCATTTCTCCCACCTTCGGAGGTTAATTGGTTTTTGAAGACCTCCTCCTGGCCGGGCACAGTGGCTCACACCTGTAATCCCAGCACATTGGGAGGCCAAGGTGGGTGGATCACAAGGTCAGGAAACCGAGACCATCCTGGCCAACATGATGAAACCCCATCTCTACTAAAAATGCAAAACTTAACTGGGCGTGGTGGCACACGCCTGTAATCCCAGCTATTTGGGAAGCTGAGGCAGGAGAATCGCTCAAACCCAGGAGGTGGAGGTTGCACTGAGCTGAGATTCTGCCACTGCTCTCCGAGCGAGACTAGGTCTCAAAAATTAAAAAAAAAGAAAAAGAAAACTCCTCCTGAGTATTTGATGATATGCAGGATTTTTTTGAACGTGTCAGCTACCATATGTTATTCTGGTTTTGTAGGAAACCATACCTACTTTGTTTTTTAGACACAGGGTCTCATTCTGTCACCCAGGCTGGAGTGCAGTGGTGCAATTACTGCTTACTGCAGCCTCGACCTCCCAGGCTAGAGCGATGCTCCTGCTTCAGCCTCCCAAGTAACTGGGATTACAGGTGCCCTCCACCATGCCCAGGTAATTTTTGTATTTTAGCCATGTTGGCCAGGCTGGTCTCAAACTCCTGACCTCAGGTGATCCACCCGCCTCAGCCTCCAAAGTGCTTGGATTACAGGTGTGAGCCACCACACCTGGCTATTTATTCCTCAACTGAATTTCTGTTTGAATTGAAACAATTTAAAATCCTAATTTCGGTAACATTATTTACATTTTTTACGTTAGTTGCTAGAACCCAATGCGAGAAGGCAGCATTTTACTCAACCTCACCCGGCAGTGGTGTGGTCTGCGGCCTTCTGGACAGCATTGGGGGTGGGGATTTGGGGGCGTGTGAGCCCCCGGGCTGGCTCAGCAGTGCGGCCTGGGCCTTATCCCAGAGGCTTCTTAGCCCCAGGCTGATTGTCCACCCCCAGTCTCCTCAACAGCGAGAGGCACATTGTCCTGCTGTGTAGAGAATGTTAGTTCTTCTGTCTCCTGCCGCATACTTTCAGCAGCTGGACAGCTCCCAGGTTTCATCCCCTGTCTCAGAAATGACTTCTCAAGTCATACCCTGCCACAGCATTTTGTTAGCCTGTTTTGTTGTTGTTCTTTGCTTGTTTTGAGATAGGGTTTCACTCTTCTTGCCCAGGCTGGAGTGCAGTGGCACAACCTTGGCTCACTGCGACCTCCGCCCCCTGGGTTCAAGCAATTCTCCTGCCTCAGCCTCCCGAATAGCTGAGATTACAGGCATCTGCCACCACACCCAGCTAAGTTTTTTGTATTTTTAGTAGAGACGGGGTTTCACCATGTTGGCCAGACTGGTTTCAAACTCCTGACCTCAAGTGATCCACCCACCTCAGCCTCCCAAAATGCTGGGATTAGAGGCGTGAGCCACTGCACCCGGCCGAGCCTCTTCTGTGACAGTTGTGATTTGTTGGATCCAAGCCCAGTTTTGTTTTTACTCTGACTTGCTGTTTTGTAAGCAGGTGGCCTAGTTTCGACATTTTAACGGCATTACAGGGATGGGAAATCCCTGGGAAGAATTAGCCGGCCAGGCAAGTTGTGTGGTGAGGGCATTGCATGGCAGGTGGAAGTTTAGGTTATTTGGGATTACTAAGTTACAGCAATGGAATTTATGAATGAATTATCTGAGTGAGTGAATAAATGACTGAGTAAAGAAGACTTACCTGAGGCCTGGTGCGGTGGCTCACACCTGTAATCCCAGCACTTTGGGAGGCCAAGGCGGGTGGAGCACCTGAGGTCAGGAGTTCGAGACCAGCCTGACCAAAGTGGAGAAACCCCGTCCCTACTGAAAAAAAAATACAAAATTAGCTGGGCGTGGTGGTACATTCCCATGATCCCAGCTACTGGGGAGGCTGAGGCAGGAGAATCACTTGAACCTGAGAGGTGGAGATTGCGGTGAGCCGAGGTCACGCCATTGTACTCCCGCCTGGGTGACAGGAGCGAAACTCTGTCTCAAAAAATAAAGACGACTTACCTGTAATTCCATGGCCCTCTGCCCTCACCTGGAGTCAGGGCAGGAAGGATGATGGGTGTGGATGGGAGGGCATCGCTGCAGGTGCTCACCTGTCTGGCTGGAAACCCCCTGTGTGGACAGGCAATGCAGTCACAGCGGCAAGTGCGCTTCCATCCTTCAGGGGCTCCTGAGTCCAGGGCCACACCATAGGCCACACTTCAGGGAATCCAAAATGGAACATGAGGGACGTTTCATCACAACTGAGCAATATGTACAGCAGTGGAGGTATCTAACAGGAAAGGCAGCTCTATGCTCTTGGAGGGGTTTGGGTGTTTTCCTTTTTTGAGACAGAGTCTCACTCTGCTGCCCAGGCTGGAGTGCGGTGGTGCAATCACTGCTCACTGCAGCCTCGACCTCCCAGGCTCAAGCAATCCTCCCGCCTCAAGTTCCTGAGTAGCTGGAAGTATAAATGTGTGTCACCACAACTGGCTCATTTTTGTTTTTTTTGTAGAGACAGGGGTTCTGCCATGTTGCCCAGGCTGGTCTCGAATTCCCGGTCTCAAGCAGTCCTCCTGCCAGCCTCCCAGAGTGCTGGAATTACAAGCCTGAGCCCCTGCACCTGGCCAGTAGTATGGGTTGTCTTTTTTTTGTTTTTTTGTTTTTTTTTTGAGACAGAGTCTCGCTTTGTCACCCAGGCTGGAGTGCAGTGGCACAATCTTGGCTCACTGCAACCCCTGCCTCCTGGGTTCAAATGATTCTCCAGCCTCAACCTCCTGAGTAGCTGGGATTACAGGCACCCACCACCATGTCCAGCTAATTTTTTTATTTGTAGTAGAAGAGCGGGTTTCGCCATGTTGTTCTGGCTGGTCTCAAATTTCTGACTTCGTGATCCACCTGCCTCAGCCTCCCAAAGTGCTGGGATTACAGGCGTTAGCCACCGAGCCTGGCTAGTATGGTTTTTCGAGAGACAAAATGGTTTTCAAATCATGAATCAAAAGAACAGTAGCTAAATGAAATTAAAGTCCATGTTAGTAAGGAAACGTCACATGCCAATGCTTCCTGAGA